TCTTTTGTTTTTCGATTTTATGTTTTTTTTTACCCCATATATTTTACATTACATTTGAGTCATTTAGCAGACGCTCTTATCCAGAGCGACTTACAGTTAGTGAATACATATTTTTTATACTGGCCCCCCCGTGGGAATCGAACCCACAACCCTGGCGTTGCAAACGCCATGCTCTATCAACTGAGCTACATCCCTGCCGGCCATTCCCTCCCCTACCCTGGACGACGCTGGGCCAATTGTGCGCCGCCCATGAGTCTCCCGGTCGCGGCCGGCTGCGACAGAGCCTGGATTCGAACCAGGATCTCTAGTGGCACAGTTAGCACTGCGATGCAGTGCCTTAGACCACTGCGCCACTCAGGATGACACTCATATGTAACTCTGTGTTGTTTTTATTGCACTACTTTTATTGCACTACTTTGCTTTATCTTGGCCAGGTCGCAGTTGTAAATGAGAACCTGTTCTCAACTGGCATACCTGGTTAAATAAAGGTGAAATAAATAAATAAATAAATATACCAGCAAACTGTAACCTAATTATAGACTTGAATAAACTGCAAACGGACTTTCGGTACTAAAAGTCTTAAATAATCGTCCAATTCAAACCAGCAAGTCATCAAACAGCATCCACTGGCTTTGTCCAAACCAACTGCATGTGTTTTGTTTGAGCAGTTATTACACCTGACCAGTTTTATAATAGACTAGTACCAAAGACAGTACAGTATGAAGATAGGCAGAAACTGCTTCTCCAATATAAATCCCCGATAACGCATGTAGGCGAAGTCATGGCAACGTTGGCTCGCTTGACTCATGCGCAGAAATACGTCATTGGGTCTAATGGTCTTCTCACGCTGTACTGCACATGTGCAGACCGTCATGTCAAAGGCACTCTTTTGATATAAAGTTGTTTTTGACAAAAATGAAAACGTGTCAGTGTGTCACTTTCACGAGGTTGTAGTAATACCATGTTCAACTACTTAAGACGATGTCTCGACTCCAGGTTGTGCCTTTAGATTTCGAGAAAATGTACAACAAATGAATATATTTTTACTTCTCTCATTGACTTCATAAACCCCAAGCCCCGGTCTTGTCTGCTTGGCCTGTTTCGCAAGCGTTCCCAGATGTTGCGCCTCTGGGTTTAGAAACTCTTTTCTAATACTAACCCTTGAAAAAATATCCCGGAAGAATCACTATGGTGACGAGAGTGTTTGGTGGATGTTCTATCAGTGAAACAACAGGTACGTTCAGTTTTCAACCTTGAAAAGCACCCACATCATGCAACGAATAAAAACGTGTGTTGTTTATGAGCTAACGTTACCAAATCGAAACTAAAAGAACTGTTTGATGAAGTTTGATAACAAGCTAGCTAACGACGTTAGCTGTTTCTCTCTGCTAGCTGCTAGCTTCCACTCTTTCTTGCTAACCCGTCCCTAGCTAGTTTGCTTACTTTCCTGTCAACCACAGTAGCTGCACATGCACAAAGTTGGCTTGCTAGCTTTGTGTCATTTGGTTCTTTTCATTATCATATGGACAACATTGCATCTTTGAAATGCAAGCGTTTAACGTTACATATCTGATGTGATATGAATTGTGATATTGTTTGCTATCTTCTTCAGCCCTGTTTTTAATGGAGAAGTGATGGAAGTGCCACACTCTGCATCAGAGACATTCACAGACAGTCAAAGGAAGAAGACCCCTCTTCCCCTGTGCCAACTGGTGGAGGACACAAAAATAAGTCCCTCTAATGTCCCTCATCACCTACTAGAGACCCGTAGGACCCTTACACTTAAACAATTTGATACATCTCAGTCATATATTTAACAGGCTATATTCAGTCAAGAATAATATGTTTATTGTAGTAGAGCGCTAGGGCTAGAACTATAATATGCATGCTCATGATGCTATCTGAGTTACCGTAGCCTACATTATGCAGTGTGTGGTTCCTCAGGCGTTTGATAATATTTTCCACTTGTTTTGGGTTTTAATATTTACTTCATTTAGCAAATGCTCTTATCAAGAGCGACTTACAGTAGTGAGTGCATACATTTTCATACTTTCCCCCGTACTGGTCCCCCATGGGAATCAAACCCACAACCCTGGCATTGCAAGCATCATGCTCTACCAATTGAGCCACACGGGACTAAGCAGATGGTGAAGACATCTCATTTATATTATACTTTCCAGAAACCTATACCAAACTCCAGAGCAACAGTGCAATCCATGCAGAACCCTCAGCACTTCACTTCAGTGGGTTTAAACTGGGGAAGGATTATCACGTTTCCACACGTGTAGTTTAATTTTATCACATGTTACTTTAAATGTTGTCGCAAGTTATCACATTAACTTCACATAAGATCACATATGATCACATGAAAACATGTGTTTTTGGAACACTTCACATGTGAAATTCACATGTTCTTTCCGTAAGGGATAGGCTACAGCTACAGCCTAGTCTGCTAAGTAGTTGCTAAGTGCACCAGTTTCTGAATTAGCCTGCCAGATAAACATGATGAGTGGCAACAAAGGCTTGTTTGAGGAATAAACTCAGTGTGTTATTATGGTCATGTAACGCATCATAAACACTGGTTTTTAATAATCTCTGTTGACACTAACGATGCGGTGAGCAGTCAATATATTAGAGTCCATTTGCACAGTAGATAGCTAATTGTAGTTCTCTAAGTAAGCTGTATGCTGGGGTATATGCTAGGGTCAGTAGTATTTGTCTTGCATGTTCAACAATCTTCAGTCAAAACAATACACTTGGAAAGAGAATACTTAAAAAAAAATCAAAATATAAACATATGTAAGGCCATAGAGATACAATATAATAATTATTTACATTTTACAGATTGTGACACAATCCACTTTCCACAATTTTTTATAGGAGGGCATTTTTATCTCTTGATAAAAATGATTGTCTTTTGAACTGAGTGGCTGGCTGAATTTGATTTAGCTTTACATTTTATTGTAGGTCTCAATGAACATGTAGGCTGTTGTCCTTTCTCTCTGGGGCTGTGTGATATACAGTACCAGTCAAAAGTGTGGACACACCTACTCATTCAAGGGTTTTTCTTTATTTGTAAAAAAAAATTACATTGTAGAATAATAGTGAAGACATCAAAACTATGAAATAACACATATGGAATCATGTAGTAACCAAAAAAGTGATAAACAAATCAAAATATATTTTATATTTAAGATTCTTAAAATAGCCACCCTTTGCCTTGATGACAGCTTTATACACTCTTGGCATTCTCTCAACCAGCTTCACCTGGAATGCTTTTCCAACAGTCTTGAAAGAGTTCCCACATATGCTGAGCACTTGTTGGCTGCTTTTCCTTCACTCTGCCGTCCGACTCATCCCAAACCATCTCAATTGGGTTGAGATCGGGGGATTGTGGAGGCCAGGTCATCTGATGCAGCACTCCATCACTCTCCTTCTTGGTAAAATAGCCCTTACACAGCCTGGATGTGGGTTGGGTCATTGTCCTGTTGAAAAACAAATGATAGTCCCACTAAGCCCAAACCAGATGGGATGGCGTATTGCTGCAGAATGCTGTGGTAGCCATGCTGGTTAAGTGTGCCTTGAATTCTAAATAAATCACAGACAGTGTCACCAGCAAAGCACCATAACACCTCCTCCTCCATGCTTTACGGTGGGAACTACACATGCGGAGATCATCCGTTCACCAACACCGCGTATCACAAAGACACGGCGGTTTGAACCAAAAATCTCCAATTTGGACAGATTTCCACCGGTCTAATGTCCATTGCTCGTGTTTCTTGGCCCAAGCAGGTCTCTTATTATTATTGGTGTCCTTTAGTAGTGGTTTCTTTGCAGCAATTCGACAATGAAGGCCTGATTCACACAGTCTCCTCTGAACAGTTGACGTTTAGATCTGTCTGTTACTTGAACTCTGTGAATCATTTATTTGGGTTGCAATTTCTGAGGCTGGTAACTCTAATGAACTTATCCTCTACAGCAGAGGTAACTCTGGGTCTTCTATTCCTGTGGTGGTCCTCATGAGAACCAGTTTCAACGTTCTTGAAATGTTCCGTATTGACTGACCTTCATGTCTTAAAGTAATGATGGACTGTCGTTTCTCTTTGCTTATTTGAGCTGTTCTTGCCATAATATGGACTTGGTCTTTTATCAAATAGGGCTATCTTCTGTATACTCCCCCTACCTTGTCACAACACAACTGATTGGCTCAAACTCATTAAGAAGGAAATAAATTCCACAAATTAACTTTTAACAAGGCACACCTGTTAATTGAAATGCATTCCAGGTGACTACCTCATGAAGCTGGTTGAAAGAATGCCAAGAGTGTGCAAAGCTGTCATCAAGGCAAACGATGGCTATTTGAAGAATCTCAAATATAAAATATATTTTGATTTGTTTAACACTTCTTTGGTTACTACATGTTTCCATATGTGTTATTTCATAGTTTTGATGTCTTCACTATTATTCTACAATGTAAAAAAAATTAAGAAAAACCCTTGAATGAGTAGATGTGTCCAAACTTTGACTGGTGGTGTATATGCTTGTTATCTTTGACCTTTGACCTGTCTTTGACCTTCCAGTGTCAGCCATGTGATCCCTCTGAGCTGCATCTGTCCCATTGACTTTGAGTTCCAGGTGTACATCATCCAGCCACACAAGGCCTTCTCGGTCCAGCCCCTGTCAGGTAACTCCAATCAGCAGACTTGGTAGCACTTTACATTAGGCCACTGAATAAAGTAGTAATCACACAGTCCTTAACAAGATAGCAACAACATCCTACCTGCTCACTCAGACAGACAGTGAGGAAAACCCCTGTATTATTCTATCTACAGTAGGTATATATTATTTGATTAATGTATTAATCCTGTGAGTCTATTTGCCAGATATGTATCAATTAATTGTTTTATATTTGATGGTAGGATAATTTCTGGTTCACAATAAGGTTCCAGCTATGTTTTTTGTGTTAGTTCCTTGAGGTGATTAGTTAAAACTTTGAACCGCATAAAACATTTTTTGCTGGCTCCCAGAGACCCAGACTCACCTGTATAAACTCACTTAATATTATTAGCTGATTACCTAGCCCTGACCTGTGATTCCTCAACATCACCATCATGTCTTGTGTCTGAATTACTGTGGAAAGATGCTCATAGTCTGCAACTGCCACCTTGACACAAAGCAGTCAGGGACTCAGTGCATCTAGCACAGGGGGGAGCTGTGTTGTTTTGTCTCTGGCATGGATGGTGACGCTTTCCAGGCAATGCGTGATGATGGATTTCCGGGGTTACGCAAATAACCTAGTACTCAGACTGGGTAGAGATGTCTGAAAAAGTATCTCTCTATGTTTCCCATGGTTTGAGGGTATTGAAGTGTTGAGTTTAGGTAGGCCTACGTATTGTTTTCCTTTAACAAATGCGTTACATTCAAGACCGGTATAATCCTTGTTTGTGTGTGATTCTAGGAGTGATTCCAGCCAATGGGAAGGTGGAGGTGACCGTCACATTCAGGCCGTTCCAGTATGACACGTCCCAGGTCACTCTACAAGTGGTCATCTCCCAGTTCAATTCCAAACCCTACGTCTGCACCCTCAGCGGGGTCCTCCTCGCCCCACCTGCCTCTCAGGTATCTCAGATCCATTTTGAAATGTTACAGGTTAATTCATTAAACATTATATTGAATTATGTCACTTTTACCAGGTCATAGTTACAATGACAAGACTGGTATATATACCAGTCTTTTATTTATATATATATGGTCAGCAAAGTTCCTGTTTTCTTGGTTTGTATCACGTTATTGCTTGTTATTTGGTGTCATTGTGAGTTCCATCAATTAATGCACTGAGCCAAATATATTTATTTTACTGATAAGAATGGAAACGTGATTGTTAAGTGGTTACGCACATTTCATAGAGCAACTGCTGAGAGAGAGACCAAGTGCTGCACATGTACTGTATTGAAACTCTCCATCTGCAAACTTTGAAAATGGAAATTGTACAAACATTTAGAGAGATAAAAATGAACCCTTGCAGTGAAGAACCATACAAGTGCATACTGTTCCATTTTCTTATAATCAAATATTTATCTGTTTTTAAGTGTGTATATACCACATTAGGATTTTTACGGTTGATAGATACTTGAATCATTTTTTTTTTCTAAATGTTTTATAATGATGCATTCTGTGTATCTAAATTTTTCAAAAAATGCACATATATGGTTCTTCTGCACGATTCAAATGATGATGATACCCTTCTGTTCCATTGATTTCTGTTCATGGCTAACTTCTTTGTTTAGTCTTGGGCTACAGACTCAAAACCACACACAGTCACTTATACTGATAAACAGGTTGTTCTTGTTTCGAGTCTGTATATAAAATATAATTTTTGATTCAGTTCCCATGAGAATGGTCTAAGGCAGTGCATCGCAGTGCTAACTGTGCCACTAGAGATCCTGGTTCGAATCCAGGCTCTGTCGCAGCCGGCCGCGACCGGGAGACTCATGGGCGGCGCACAATTGGCCCAGCGTCGTCCAGGGTAGGGGAGGGAATGGCCGGCAGGGATGTAGCTCAGTTGATAGAGCATGGGGTTTGCAACGCCAGGGTTGTGGGTTCGATTCCCACGGGGGGCCAGTATAAAAAATATATATATGTATTCACTAACTGCAAGTTGCTCTGGATAAGAGCGTCTGCTAAATGACTTAAATGTAATGTAAATGTAAAATGGGTGTACTCCATCACTGACAGTGGACGAGTTTTACTCCCCTGTGTTATGACTGAAATAAGTTAATGATTCATCAAGCAAGGGAACTGCAGTCATATCAAAATGCATTGGTATCCAATCCATTCAATGTGTGTGCTTTGGATCAAATATTCCCATGTTTACTTCTCCCTGGACCCGCAATAAAAGTTTATTATTGAAATTTTACTGCAGTGGGCTAAATCAGGGTCACGCAGAGTGTTTCTTGGTAGTCTTAAACAAATCTACTTTGAAACAAAAGTATACACCTCACACACATGGTTATGGGCTTTAAAAAAAGAAGACACCTGTACCATGTCAGATATAGAGTTGAATTGTATTACATTTTGAGTTTGCATCCCAATATTACACATCACAGAAGATTGAAATATTACAAAACCGTTTGACAGAGAAACACATGATTTTCCACTGGCTTTTTGAAATACTGTTGTGAATTGTGAAATTATAAAAAAAATATTAATAACGTTCCACCGATGAGGCCACTAGAGGGCAATTTGGTCATTTGACTGCAGGAAACATGCTACATACATTTATTGGTGTTGTTTCTGACCCAGTCAACAGGAGAAAGACATGGGACATGCAAGAGAAGTTCTGTTTGTTGACAGTCGAGGGCCTCCACCTGTCTCCTTGATACAGCCTCTGACCAAAACCAAGCAGAGGTCAATGCGGACACCTGAAAAGTCAAAGGTAATGCAAGCATTTAACTCCTGCTGTACTTACCAAGGGTGTGTTATTGGATGCTAGCATGCTAGTTAGCTATGGCATCATAGTTAGCTAGCTGAATAAAGTAAGCTGAGTCTATTCCTTGAAACATTGAACCGCTGTAGTTTGCAACAATTCTAATTTCTAAAGTGGAAGTTGGGAGAGTTTTATTCGGGTGTTTCAGTGAAACAATTATAGTTTCTGAGGTGGAAGTTGGGAGAGTTATATTTGGGAGTTGTGGTGAGGGAGGCCCTACTCTCTCCTTTCCCAGATGTTTAGTTCATTTGCTACAGCCTGTCAACTATGCCTCTGCCTATCCCTGTTCTCTCCTCTCCGCACAGGCTACACAAACGCCTCACACCGCGTGGCTGCTGCCTCTCTAACCTGGTGGTCCCTGCACGCACCACACACCTGGAGTTCCAGGTCTCAGGCAGCCTCTGGAACTGCCGTTCTGCTGCCAACAAGGCTGACTTCATCCCAGCCTATGCTACCCTCCAGTCCCTCGACTTCCTGGCGCTGACGGAAACATGGATTACCACTGAAAACACTGCTACTCCTACTGCTCTCTCCTCGTCTGACCATGTGTTCTCGCATACCCCGAGAGCATCTGGTCAGAGGGGTGGTGGCACAGGAATCCTCATCTCTCCCAAGTGGACATTCTCATTTTTCCCCTAACCCATCTGTCTATCTCCTCATTTGAATTCCATGCTGTCACAGTCACTAGCCCATTTAAGCTTAATATCCTTGTCATCTATCGCCCTCCAGGTTCCCTTGGAGAGTTCATCAATGAGCTTGACGCCTTGATAAGTTCCTTTCCTGAGGATGGCTCACCCCTCACAGTTTTGGGGGATTTCAACCTCCCTACATCTACATTTGACTCATTTCTCTCTGCCTCCTTCTTTCCACTCCTCTCCTCTTTTGACCTCACCCTCTCACCGTCCCCCCCTACTCACAAGGCAGGCAATACGCTTGACCTCATCTTTACTAGATGCTGCTCTTCTACTAATCTCACTGCAAACTCCCCTCCATGTCTCCGGCCCACTACTTTGTATCCTTTTCTCTCTCGCTCTCCTCCAACACTACTCACTCTGCCCCTACAAGATGGTTAATGCACCGCCGCAACCTTCGCTCTCTCTCTCCCACTACTCTCTCCTCTTCCATCCTATCATCTCTTCCCTCTGCTCAATCCTTCTCCCTCTAATCTCCTGATTCTGCCTCCTCAACCCTCCTCTCCTCCCTTTCTGCATCCTTTGACTCTCTGTGTCCCCTATCCTCCCGGCCGGCTCGGTCCTCCCCTCCAGCTCCGTGGCTTGATGACTCATTGCGAGCTCACAGAACAGAGCTCCGGGCAGCTGAGCGGAAATGGAAGAAAACTAGACTCCCTGCGGACCTGGCATCTTTTCACTCCCTCCTCTCTACATTCTCTTCATCTGTTTCTGCTGCTAAGGCCACTTTCTACCACCTCTAAATTCCAAGCATCTGCCTCTAACCCTAGGAAGCTCTTTGCCACATTCTCCTCCCTGCTGAATCCCCCCCCCCCCCACCCCCCCTCCTCCCTCTCTGTGGATGACTTCGTCAACCACTTTGAAAAGAAGGTTGACGACATCCGATCCTCGTTTGTTAAGTCTAATGACACTGCTGGTCCTGCTCACACTGCCCTACCCTATGCTTTGACTTCTTTCTCCCCTCTCTCTCCAGATAAAAATCTCGCGACTTGTGACTGCAGGCCGCCCAACAAACCTGCCCCGCTTGACCCCATCCCCTCCTCTCTTCTCCAGACCAACTCCGGTGACCTTCTCCCCTACCTCACCTCGCTGATCAACTCATCCTTGACCGCTGGCTATGTCCCTTCTGTCTTCAAGAGAGCGAGAGTTGCACCCCTTCTCAAAAAAAACCAACACTTGATCCCTCTGATGTCAACAACTACAGACCAGTATCCCTTCTTTCTTTTCTTTCCAAAAACTATTGAGCGTGCCGTCTTTAGCCAACTCTCTTGCTATCTCTCTCAGAATGACCTTCTTGACCCAAACCAGTCAGGTTTCAGGACTGGTCATTCAACTGAGACTGCTCTTCTCTGTGTCACGGAGGCTCTCCGCACTACTAAAGCTAACTCTCTCTCCTCTGCTCTTGTCCTTCTAGACCTGTCTGCTGCCTTTGATACTGTGAACCATCAGATCCTCCTCTCCACCCTCTCCGAGCTGGGCATCTCCGGCGCGGCTCACTCTTGGATTGCGTCATACGTGACCGGTCGCTCCTACCAAGTGGCGTGGCAAGAAGCTGTCTCCGCACCACGTGCTCTCACCACTGGTGTCCCCCAGGGCTCAGTTCTAGGCCCTCTCCTATTCTCGCTATACACCAAGTCACTTGGCTCTGTCATATCCTCACATGGCCTCTCCTATCATTGCTACGCTGACGATACACAACTAATCTTCTCCTTTCCCCCTTCTGATAACCAGGTGGTGAATCGCATCTCTGCATGTCTGGCAGACATATCAGTATGGATGACGGATCACCACCTCAAGCTGAACCTTGGCAAGACGGAGCTGCTCTTCCTCCCGGGGAAGGACTGCCCGTTCCATGATCTCGCCATCACGGTTGACAAACTCCGTTGTGTCCTCCTCCCAGAGCCTTGGCGTGACCCTGGACAACACCGTGTCGTTATCCGCTAACATCAAGGCGGTGACCCGATCCTGCAGGTTCTACAACATTCGGAGAGTACGACCCTGCCTTACACAGGAAGCGGCACAGGTCCTAATCCAGGCACTTGTCATCTCCCGTCTGGATTACTGCAACTCGCTGTTGGCTGGGTTCCCTGCCTGTGCCATTAAACCCCTACAACTCATCCAGAATGCCGCTGCCCGTCTGGTGCTCAACCTTCCCAAGTTCTCTCACGTCACCCCCGCTCCTCCGCACACTCCACTGGCTTCCAGTTGAAGCTCGCAGCTGTTACAAGACCATGGTGCTTGCCTATGGAGCTGTGAGGGGAACGGCACCTCCATACCTTCAGGCTCTGATCAGTCCCTACACCCAACGAGGACATTGTGTTCATCCACCTCTGGCCTGCTAGCTCCCCTTCCTCTGCGGAAGCATAGTTCCCGCTCAGCCCAGTCAAAACTGTTCGCTGCTCTGGCACCCCAATGGTGGAACAAGCTCCCTCACGGCGCCAGGACGGCGGAGTCGCTCACCACCTTCCGGAGACATTTGAAACCCCACCTCTTTAAGGAATACCTGGGATAGGATAAAGTAATCCTTCTACCCCCCCTAAAAAATTTAAAAATAAAATAAAAATTGTTAAAAGTGGTTATCCCACTGGCTATAGGGTGAATGCACCAATTTGTAAGTCGCTCTGGATAAGAGCGTCTGCTAAATGACGTAAATGTAAATGTAAATGTGCATTTCCAGGAAAAGCCTTCTAGCTAACATCACACCTTATTTATCTTGAAAACCCAGCTGCACAGAGATAGAGTCATGCTAGAAATAAAACTACAATGGTAGCTACAAGGCTTTTAAGAAACTCACTCCAGTTCATTTAGCAGACATTTAGCAGACCATTTAGCAGACTAAGCGTATTGCAACGCTTCACTGGATCAATCTGAAACTTTGCATACACACTGCTGCCATCTAGTGTCCAAAATCTAAATTGCGCCTAAACAGCATTATTATATTGTGGCCTTTCTCTTGCATTTCAAAGATGAAGGAACAAAAGAATATATAGAAAACACATGATTTTTTGTTTGTATTATCTTTCCCAGATCTAATGTGTTATATTCTCCTACATTCATTTCACATTTTCACAAACTTCAAAGTGTTTCCTTTAAAATGGTATCAAGAATATGCATATCCTTGCTTCAGGTCCTGAGCTACAGGCATTTAGATTTGGGTATGTCATTTTAGGCAAAAGAAAGTGTACTATCCTTAAGAGGTTCATGATATATACCCATTTGATTCTTGAAGAATATAATTATAAATGCCTCATGACTTAATTCAACTGTCATATGTACCCCATCAGAACCCAACATAGAAGCTGTTTTACTCCAATGTGTGTAAACAATGTAAATGTAATGAAAACAAACACTGTATAACCTTAAAACATGGGTTAAAACTGTAATTTTGATATCATGGATGGCCAGCTCTGTCTGAATTTGAGAGTGGTTATATTTCTCCAGGCCCATCCCTTAGTTTTTTACCAAAAGAGAGGTGGGGTGCCCGCTTTGTTATTGTTTCAATTAAGGATTCTAGCTTTTAAAAGGTCTCGGTATAATGTTTTTCTCCAATACATTCTGAGAACATTAAAAGGGATTCAATTTATACGTACCTTCCAGCTTTTTTGCTTTGATAAACAGGTTTTTGCTCTTTAAAGTTGTTCTCACCTGACTGGTCCTCCATGTTGATTATGTTGTTAAGGCTGATGCAGACGGGTTTTACGTTGGGCGATGATTATGGATATTTCCACTGGAATGAAGAACATGGCCATTGGGGTAAGCATTTCACACCTCTGTTGGGTCTTGGTTTAATCATTGTATTACCATTCCTTTATGGAAATGAGAGGGATAAGCTTCTGCTCTCATTCTTTTTACAGGAGAGGTGGACCCTAAATAACAACGACTACAACTATGAGTATGCGTACAAGTATGACCAGGATCAACCTGGTCAAGGGGCCAAATGGGAAATAGAGGCTTTCTCAGATTGTCGATGCTCCTGCCCATCTCCCCCTCCCTACTTCCTCTGATCTCCCTCAAACAGACCCACGGAAACAGCCCTGGATTTCCCCGCAAGGAAACCCCTTGGCTTTTGCAAAGTAAGCACGGGGTCGTTTTAAAACCGAAATTTAAAACTGCACAGCTACCCCATCCACCAGATTTTCATTCATTTTGGGGGGTTTGGGGGTGCTTGATAATGCCTTTAAAGTGAATTGATTGGGATGTTGGGGCCAAATTTTTAATTTGGGGTTTCCCGATTAAACCCGGATTACCCAGAGTACCAGATTGAGTTTTAATTGGGGGGGGAAAATTTAAAAGACGTTTCTATCCACGGTTGAAGCCTCTTTCCAAAAATTTAAAAACCGGGGGGTGTTTTCCCCTTTTCCGTAGCCCTTTGGGGCCTTGGGGGGAGTTTATTGAGAGGCATGGCAAAAAAGTGTAGGAGTAACCCAAACTAAGTTTTTTCATGTGGGGTATTTGGGGCCCTGTTGTGCACAGAGAGTGGGAAAGGGACGTTTATTCGTTAGATTTAGGGGCAGCAGAGTTAAAAATGGATGATGGGGAGGGGGTATTATTTGGGGTTTTCCCTTTTTTATAAGGGAAGGGAAACAGATTGGGTTTTAAAGGGGTGGGGTCTATTTCATTGTAATTGATTTTTGTTGTTTCTGGGGCTAAAATTCTCTTCTAACCCCCAAACTATTTGCCCATCTCCCAAAAAAATGAAGCCCATCGTGGGTGAGGTGCCCATCTCTCCACCCGTGAAGGGCCCTCATGGGGTTTAGGGGGGGTTCCCCTTCCCACCAGTGAAGCCATTGTGGGTTTAGCTTCCCACTCTCCACCCGTGAAGGCCCCCTCGGGGTTGAGCTTTCCCCCTCTCCACCCGTGAAGCCCCTGTGGGGTGAGGGCCCCTCTTCCAAACCCCGTGAAGCCAAACATGGGGAGCTGCAATCTCTCCACCAGTGGAAGCCCATCGTGGCTGAGGGGCCCATCTCGCCACCCTGGGAACCCCCCATGGGAGCTTTTCCCTCTCTCCCCCCCAGTGAAGCCCCTTTGGTTTGGGTTTAGCTTTTTCCCACTCTCCCCAGGGAAAACCCCCTCGTGGCTGAGCTGGCCCCTTTTCCTCCACCAGTGAAGCCAAACGTGGGTTGAGGACCCCTCTTTTCCACCAGTGAACCCAAATTTTGGTGAAATGCCCCCCCTCTCTCCCCAGTGAGCCCAAACATGGTTTAGCTTCCCATCTCTCCACCCCGGGGGAAACCATCGTGGGGTGTGCTGCCCATCTCTCCAATTATTTAAGCATGTTATGGTTTTAGCTGAAGGTCTGTGAAAGGGAAAAATAAAAAAAGACAAAAAAAAACATGGAAAAATTCCGTTCCCCAAAACCAAAACCTTTCTCCCCCTCCTCCCCGCCCATCGGATTATTTCCCCCCCCCAAAAGGGTTGCCAAAAAGGGCCCCGGGAAATTTGGGTTTATTCAAACCCCCACCAAAAGGGTTTCCAAAGGGCCCAGGGAAAGTTTTTCCTTTTTACCCCACCCCCGGGTTGCCAAAGGGCCCAAAAACCCCGAATGTCTTCCCCTTCAACCCCCAACCCCAGGGTTTCCAAAGGGCCAAAGGGTTTTTTAAATATTAGGTATCAGGTTTAAAAATACCAAAAAATGGGCCTGGAATATTTAGGGCCCCTGCCCCTGGCTCAATTCCCAGACTCTCTCACCGGTTGTGTGCCCGGAAAGGGGAAGTGACCTTTTTTTGGGTATAAAAAATCCTCTTATTGGGAAAAAAGCCCTGATTGGGCTGGTTTAGCAAAAAAATTTTCCACCATTGGGCCCACCTAATCCTAAAGGGTTTTAGACTTCAATTAACGTTTTTTTTTTTCTAGCCAAAAAGGGTTTACATTTAGTTAAAAAAAATTGATTCAGACTCTCCTGAAATTTTGGGGCAGATGATGGTGAATGGGACTTGGTGGGAAACAATGTCCCCCCCTGGGGGGGGTTTTACGTTTGTTTACTCTTCCCTGGACATTTTTAAGGGGTTTTTTTTTGGGACTACATTTATTTTATCCCGCTTTCCCCTTTTTTTCCCCAAAAATCCAAAATTTAAATTTTTTAAATCAATGTAATTCTTTAAAGGGTTTATTAGTGCCCTTTTCAAAGTAAAAAAATATTGGGGGTTTTGGGGGGTTTTAAAGGGGGGTAATAAATTTTTTCTTTTTCACATAGGCTATTTTTCCAGAAAAAAAAGGATTTCAGTGGAGCATTTTGAAAAATTAGAAAAAATAATAAACTCAAGCATCTTGTGCTTATAATCTTCATAAAATCCAATGAGACAAAGGGTTTTTATGCCTGTTTTTTATTCATTGGAACACAGTGTGTTTTAAACCAGCACTCCCAAAACTATCATCCCTTGGTACCAAAGTACCAAAAATTATGTGGGGGAATCCGTAGCCCGTTTAAATGTTTTTTAAATTTTTGTGGAAAGGGGTTTTTTAAGAGGAAAAAAAAACCCCCCCCAAATAAGGTGATGGAATCCCCTATCAAGATTACCCTTTCCCCCATTAAAAAAAAAATTGGGTTTTCCTGCTTTCCCACCATTGGCATGTGGGAAAAAATTTTAAAAATTTTTTCATCTCAGACACGAAAAAAAAGTGATTAACCCAACACTTCAAAAGTCCCCTTTTTTGATGCCAACACGTGGAGGAAAGTGAAAAATGATTTGGCGGGGGGCACAATGAAAATCCAGACATATCCCTTAGGGGGGGGGGTTTGGGAATTTAGCTTCATTTCATCAGCAACGGCCTGGGGTATCTCCCAAAACAGATTCAATCTCATGTTATCACTTTAGCTATCGGGGTTTTCTCGTAATCTCGAAAACCAAAATGAATTTTAGTAAAAAGGGGCCCCTTTAAAAAAGTACACATAAAGAGATTAGTGGTAATTTTAAAATATGTAGGTTTTTCAATTTGAAATCATTTCAAGTCCCCGACAAACGTTCCTCAAAGAGAAAGGAAAAAAATGAAAATGGTTGGGCCCCCATAGAGGAAACGGGATAAAAACCCAAAGGGGATTGTTTGGTTTTGAGTGGCCAAAGACATGGCAGGGGGGTTTTTTGTTTTTTGAAAAGGGAAAAAAATCTCCGGGGGACACTGGTTCTCGTATGATCCCAAAAAGTGTATTGGATCTCAAAACTCCCCCCCTGTTTTTTTATAAAGCATCCAACCCTTTTAATCAATAAAAAAAATACACCACAAACCCTCACATAAGAAACAAGGAAAATGTTGAGCTTTTATTGGGATCCAAATTTTAATTAAGTTGGAACCCGTTTTTATTAGCACAAAAGAAACCAATTTATTCTGTGCTCCATCCCTTTCGTAGAAAAACACATTTGGTTTTTCCAAACAAAAAGGGGGATAAATGCTTTAAAGCCCCATTTTTTTCCCCCCCCATGGCTTTTCTGATGTTACCTTTCCAGGGATTTTTACAATACACCTTTTGGGGGATAACAAAAAAGGGAAAGGGGGACAGGATGGTGGGACCCCTATCCAAAGCTTTGGAAGGGGCATTGCAATGAAATGGTTTCCTGGGATACAGTATTGGGGACAGTGTTTCCCCAACACACAACTCGTGGAGGATGCTTTTGTTTTTAGAGGCCCCAAAGGGGGGTTAAGGGAAATCAAAACAAAAGCACATAGCCCAGCATATCCCAACCCCTTTGTTAGGAACATGGCGAATTATTTTTTAATTTTTTTTTAATTTTTACCTTTAATTTGGGCCGGTAAGCCAGTTTAGAACAAGTTTCATTACAACTGCGAAAAAAGGCCCAAAATAAAGCCCAAAACAGGCGGGTAAAAAAAAACAAAGAGTTACATATGGGGGTTTTAAAAAAAAAAAAACAAAAATCAAAAATCAACGAAAAAAAAAAATATACAGTGTGTGCAAATGTAGCAAAGGTTTTGGAGGGAAGGGGAAAAAAAGGCATGGGGGCAAAATAATTTCAATTTGATTAAAACTGGAAAGATAGGGTGGGCAAGAGGGGGATGTGGCCCAAAGAGATCTTGTGGGCCCTGATGTGAACCCCGTTGGGGAAATTTTTGCATACCAAAGTCTAATGGTTTTAAATGATGTTTTTTATTGTCGGAAAATACTTGTAGAATTCGCTTTCAGTAGGTCTTTTTTTAAAAAAGAGAAGCCGGTTTTTCAAGGGTATTAAAAAAGGTGCTTAGGTTTTTTCTTCTGTTGTTGATATCAGGGAAGTGCAAAACCCAACCCCGGGGCCCCGATAGCAATGTTCCCAAAAACCCCCTTTATTTAAATCTAGATCTGGTTTTTTGGGTTTTTTTTCATTTTTAAAGTACGCAGCCGGGTTTTCAAAAATTGATGGGGTTTGGAATTTGGGGAAAAAGGGAAAAAAAAAAAATTTTCCCAAATTAACTTTTAAAAAAAGGGCACCCTTTTAAATTGAAATGCATTCCAGGTACTACCTCTGAAGCTTTTTTAAAAAGCCAAGGTGTAAAAGCTGTCTCAAGGCAAACGATGGCTTTTGAAGTCTCAAATTAAAAAATTATTTTATTTGTTTAACACTTCTTTGGTTCTCTGTTTCCAATTTTTTTTTTCATATTTTTGATGTCTTCACTATTATTCTACAAGTAAAAAATTAAGAAAAACCCTTTGAATAAAAAAAAAAGGGTCCAAACTTTGAGGTGGTGTTATTTGTTATTTTTTACTTTGCCTTTTTTTTCCCCCTTCCGTTCAGCCATTTCCCTTGAGCTGCATTGCCCCCATTGATTTGATTTCCCAGGTGACTTCCCCCCGCCAAAAAGGCCTTCTCGGTCCCCCCCTGTCAGGAAACCCAATCAAACTTGGTGCACTTTACATTAGGCCACTGAATAATAGTAATCACCAGCCCCTTAAAAGATGCAAAAAACTCCTACCCTCCCCCGAAGACGGGGGAAAACCCGATTTTCCCCACTACAGGGGGAAAAAATTTAAAATTTTAAATTATTAAATCCTGGGTCTTTTTTGAGATTGGGTCAATTTTTTTTTAAATTTTTGATGGTAGGAAAAAAATTTTGGTTCCCAAAATGGGGGTTTCCAGCAAATGTTTTTGTTTTATTTCCGATTTTGTTAAAACTTTAAACCGCAAAAAAAATTTTTTTGCGGGCCCCCAGAGACCCGACTCCCCTGTAAAATCACTTTTTAGCTGATTCCCTACCCCCTGCCCTGGATTCCTCAACATCAATTGTCTGTGTCAAATATGTGAAAGAGCTCATAGTCTCAATGCACCTTGACAAAAAAGCAGTGGGGACTCAGTCATCTACCGGGGGGGACTGTGTTGTTTTTCTCTGGCGGGAGGTGACGTTTCCCCGGCAATCGTGATATGGTTTTCCGGGGGTTTACGCAAAAAAACCTATACTCAACTGGGTAGAGAGTCTAAAAAGACTTCTATTTTCCCAGGGTTTGAGGGTTTTGAAGTTTGAGTTTAGGTAGGCCTACGTATTTTTTTCCTTTAACAAAGCGTTAAAAATCAAGCCCGGGTAACCCCCTTGTTGTGTGTGATTCTGGGATGATTCCAGCCAAGGGAAGGGGGTGACCCACATTCAGCCTCCGTATAAACCCCCAAAATTTCTACAAGGGGTCATTTTTCCCTTTAAAATTAAAAAACCCCTACGTCTGCACCCTCAGGGGGGTCCCCCTCGCCCCCCCTCCTCTTTTCAATCCATTTTAAAATGTTAAGGTTTAAATTTCTTTAAAACATTATTTGAATTTGTCCTTTTACCAGGTCTAGTTAAAATGACAAGATGGATATATACCATCTTTTATTAAATATATGGCAGAAAGTTCCTGTTTTTTTTGGTTTGTATCACGTTTTGTTTGTTTTTTGGGTTTTCCATTGTGAGTTCCTAAATTAATCACTGACCCAAATTATTTATTTTTGATAAGAAGGGAAACGTGATTTTTAATTTGGTTCCACATTTCATAGAGCAACGTGAAGGGGAACAGTGCTGCCATGTTGTTAAAACTCCCCATCTCAAATTTTAAAAAATGGAAATTTCAACATTTAAGAGAAAAA